GATAAAGCTGGAAATGAAGAAAATGAAGCATCAATACATAGGCACTGTTAGCCTCATGGGCTATCAGAGCCCTGTTTGTGTGGTCAATCTGTATGAAGTCATTATCCCACAGCTAAAAGGACGGGCAACGAACACAGCCTGCATGGCCATTTTAGTACAGTCCAAACTTTAATAGCCTTGCAAACAGTAGCAACTAACCATCCAAGTCTCTCTCACTCTCTGTCACTTCCTGTGCCTAGCCTGGCAACAAAACTACTGTCCCCTAGAATGTGGCAGCTCCAGATTATCCAGCTATAAGCCCTTGGACACATGCCCTATTAGTGCTATTAGCGCTACTGGGACTTGTACCAGAGTGGGGTGAGCACTTGTGGCATGAGGGCATGAAGGCTAGCTCAGCATGTTTAGCTCAACAAAAGAAACTCAGCGTCTTTACCTCTATGGTGAAACATTGAAACCTTGCACCCCCATAACAAGAGCTGGGTGAATACTGCTGTTTTTGGTTTGCTGGCAATGCTGAATAATTGGAAAAATATTTCATTTTGGGTGGAAATTTTCAGTTAATCAAAAAGTCTGAGCTGGGTCAAAACACACTATGCAGTTGAGCCATTTCTAAAAACACGTCTATTTTTGTCAGTTCAATGAACCAATTCAGTGAACTCGACATAAATTTGCAAAAAGGGTTGGGTCACCCGAAACTACATTTTTTCTTTCAGCAAATTCATTATTTGCTGAAAAAAAGGTCACCGAGCTGCACGCACAGCCCTGCCAGGGATTGTCTATCTCTCCCCACCGTCCTCCCACAATTTAACAGTAGTGGCTGTCAGGATTTACCAGGTTACTGTGATTATTTTTTACAACACGCAGGCCTGGTCTACATTGGAGGGGGTGGAATCGATCTAAGTTATGCAACATCAGCTACGTGAATAACGTAGCTGAAGTCAACGTACTTAGATCTACTTCTATGGCTGACGCTCTCCCGTCGACTCCCGCTCTCCCGTCTGTGCCTCTCACCCTGGTGGAGTACCGGAGTTGACGGGAGAGCACACGGCGGTCGATTTATTGCATCTAGACTAGACGCGATAAATCAACCCCCGCTGGATCAATTGCTGTCTGTCAATCCAGCGGGTAATGTAGACAAGCCGTTACTGCAGAACACTTTCTAGCACATAGTGAAGTACTTGCCTAAATAACTGGCCCTCACCTACAGCTCTCACAGTATGCCAGCACAGTCCATTCGGGGCAGCAGTATCCTTTATTCACGCAGGGTGGCTTCACCCCATGCAGAAGACTGCTGAAGGACTAGCACTGCTTAGGCAGCCTGAGTTCAACAGCTGCTCTTGGCTAGTGCCATAAGGTGGCAGGGCCCGAAAAGCAGGCCGGTTGCAGAGAGGAGTGCAGGCTACAGCCTATGGGCAGCCGGTATAAGTGCTTTGGGGAGGCTAAGAAATGCTGGATGTGGCGTACCTCCCTTTGGAGGCACGCTGGCCCACTGCCTTTGGCGCGTCACCCCCGCCCCCGCTCCACCTCTTCCCTTGAGGCCTCCTTGCCCGCCGCTTGCTCCTATCTGCCCTCTCCCCCCGAGTCACTCACCTTTATGGCAGGAGGAGGCAGAAAGGAGTGAGAGGTGAGGGGAGCTTGGGAGAGGGGTGGAGAGATGGGAGTGGCAGGCAGGGAGGCCTCAGGGGAAGAAGCAAAGTGGGGACAGAAAGAGGCAGAGTGGGCGGGGTCAAAGCCTCGGTAGGTGGAGAGGCTGAGCAGGGCCTCTGGGGAAGCAGGGGTGGAGTGTGGATGGGGCCTCGCGGGGAGGAGGCTGAGCTGGGTGGGGCCTTGGGGTGGAGCAGGGGGCAGGGGCCATGGTCCAGGCACTGGTGCCCCCTGCCCCACAAATCTAGGAAGCTTCCAGCACTTGCGCCCAGCCTCCCCAAACACATATATATAGTGTAATTAGATTTTCAGAAAACCTTTGACAAGGTCCCTCACCTAAGGCTCTTATGCTATCATGGGCTAAGAGGGAAGGTCCTCTCATGGATCAGTAACTGGTTAAAAGATAGGAAACAAAGGGTAGGAATAAATGGTCAGTTTTCAGAATGGAAAAAGGTAAATAGTGGTGTCCCCCAGGGTGTACTGGGATCAGTCCTATTCAACATATTCATATATGATCTGGAAAAAGGGGTAAACAGTGAGGTGGCAAAATTTGCAGATGATACAAAACTACTCAAGATAGTTAAGTCCCAAGCAGACTGTGAAGACCTACAAAAGGATCTCACAAAACTGGATGACTGGGCAACAAAATGGCAGATGAAATTCAATGTTGATAAATGCAAAATAATGCACATTGGAAAACATAATCCCAACGATACATATAAAATGATGTGGCCTAAATTAGCTGTTACCACTCAAGAAAGAGATCTTGGAGTCATTGTGGATTCTCTGAAAACATCCACTCAACATGCAGCTGCAGTCAAAAAAGCAAACAAAATGTTGGGAATCATTAAGAAAGGGATAGGTAATGAACAGAAAATATCATATTGCCTCTATATAAATCCATGGTATGCCCACATCTTGGATACTGCGTGTAGATGTGGTCGCCCCATCTCAAAAAAGATATATTGGAAAAGGTTCTGAAAAGGGCAACAAAAATGATTAGGTAAGACTGGGACTTTTCAGCTTGGAAAAGAGATGACTAATGGGAGATATGATAGAGGTCTATAAAATAATGACTGGTGTGGAGAAAGTAAATAAGAAAGTGTTATTTACTCCTTCTCATAACACAAGAACTAGGGGTCACTAAATGAAATTAATAGGCAGCGGGTTTAAAACAAACAAAAGAAAGTATTTTTTCACGTAACGCACAGTCAACTTGTGGAACTCCTTGCCAGAGGATGTTGTGAAGGCCAAGACTATAACAGGGTTCAAAAAAGAACTAGATAAGTTCATGGAGGATAAGTCCATCAATGGCTATTAACCAGGATGGGCAGGGATGGTGTCCCTAGACACTTGATGATTACTGTTCTGTTCATTCCCTCTGGGGCACCTGGCATTGGCCACTGTCAGAAGACAGGATATTGGGCAAGACCCAGTATGGCCATTCTTATGTTCTTAATTAATGAGTCAGGGGAGGCAGGGAGTGCTCCCACCAGTCCTGGTTAAATCACAGGCTTCACAGCCTTATACACTGAGAAGCTGTAGTAGTGGAGAAGGGGAAGTGGAGGCCGGACAAGGTCCCTCTGTCACAAAACCAGATGGGATTCCCTTCTGGAGCCCCAAGGCCCATAACAGCCTTTCCCCTCTTCCAGCCAAGAGAGAATGTGCATCAGTGCACCTTCCCAGAGTAGGCCTGGACCCCAGGCAGGCACCTGGGCTAGCACTGGAGAGAGCTCAGGGAGAGGATCCAAGGAGTGAGGCTAGAGGTCACTGGGTGAATGAATAAGGGAGGTGGGAGGCTAGTGCACTACTGGAAGGGGCAAAAGCTGAGGATTAAATGCATTTAAAATGTGAATGTGCGGCAAGGTAAAGAAAGGGTTGGGCAGGATTTGGAGGGGATGGGTTATGTACATAGATATTTAAACTGGCTCCTTCTGCTGGGGCCACAGGCTACACAGCCTCCCATTGGGAGATGCCTTCGGCATGGGAACTAAGGCCCATTCCTGGCTCCACATCGCTGGGGGAGAATACTCCTCCCACCCCTAGACTGAGTGCTTGGCTCCTGAATCTTGTGTCCAGCCTGAAGTTAAGTAATGCTGACGAGCTCTCTTACTGGTGCCTTTCCATTGGGTCTAATTGTAAGCTGGTGTTGTTTCCACAAGCGGAGAGGCAAGACAGGGCACCTGTTGCTTTGTCCAGAACACTGCCCCCGTGCTTTAGTGCTCCCGCTAGGTACATGGAAGATGTGTGGGTTGCAGCTGATGCTGTTGTTGGGTTTATGGAGGACCACCAAGGAGACTGGGATCCTGAGCTTGCATAAGAAAATGTAGCAGCTCCCACACCAACCGCTCCCACCCCTGCAGCTGGGACATGGTTGAGTTGCCCTCACCTCAGGGACCTCCATGTGTTCTTGGGATCCTGTTCCTAGGTACAAAGCTTCTTCAGGGCCATTTCCAACTCCCCACCCTCAACTATCACTTCAGTCTCTTGCCTTCCGCTCCACGGCAAAGTATAGAGCCAGCTGCTTGTCCCTCTTGCTGTTTTCCAAGCTGTACCTCCTCTGCTGAACTGCACTGTCCACCTGTGGCCAGAGGCCAGGGGATTTAGCATCATTACAGACCACACTACGTAGAAGCCCTTATTGTCTATTGCAGCTCCCCTTCCCCCAGCCCTAAAAATGGCTCTGTCAATTAGCACCAAGTGAAGTCCAGCACGGCCCCAGTTACATCGCTGTGGCACCAAATTTGCCATTTAAAATATAACTTCCCAGCAAGGCAAGGCTTACCTTTTCCCACAACTTTTACAGGTTTCTGTTACCACCTTCCTTAGCACATGTCCCAGCCTGGGGGATCAACTCACCTTGATCATTGTATCTAGCCAGATCCCTCTGGCTGATGTAGAGGTCATGGTCAGTGTCCAGCTCCCAGAATTTACAGTAGATGACATAGAAGTGCTCATAGGAGAAGTAGTCTGTGATTTGGTTTATGTCATCCTCTTCCTCCAAGAGGGCAAGAGTCTGAAATGGCATGAGTTGGATGGGAAGTTAATTCTACACTAGATAGGGAGATGCCAGCAATTGCCTGGGTACCAGGGCGCTGGCACAGAGGGCGAATTACACATTGTGAACTAATCCACCTCTGAAATGTAACCCTTTTCCATTTGCCAGCTGATATGCAAATACATTAATCATTTACCAGGGGAATGAGCAAGGAGGAACAGTGAATGACAGACACCCTTGTTCAGAAACGGATCTCCTGGCATGCGAGTATGGATGTCTGCATAAAAAATGCTCATCCCCAGAGAGTCCTGTAAACACCACCACTTTCATGTGAGTGTTCAGGAATAATGAACACAAGCAGGGCGGGACGGAGCGGGCACCAAACAGCCATCTGTAATTGGCCCCAATGTCTGCATATGCTGCCTTCTATCAGCCTGAGACACTCAGTGACATTCGCCACCATGAGTCCTCAAATCTCAGTAGGAACTGGGGCACATCCCTTGCCAGAAAACAATGAGCCCTGGAGCAACGTCATCCTGGTACAGTACTTTTGTTCCCCATCCCTTTCCTGTCTCTCTTCCTTCCCTTCTCGTCAATCACCTTTCTCCCTCTCCTCTCAAGGCTTTGTGGTCTCAGCACCTCCCAACATTTGCATGTTGGGATCGCACCAGGGCTTTACCAACTTATCTCCCTAGCTTCCCATCCCTGGTTTCAGTGCCAGCAAGATGTGAGATGGCCACTTCAGTCTGATAAAGTATGGTCTTAAAGAAAATGAAAAGGCCAGGGGATCTAGGGATTGCTTTTTTCCTCCTTCTTGTCACCCCCATACCTCTTGGAGCTTAAGAGTTTTAGATTCTCTAAGATGGAGTCTGAGAATCTGGGGGAAGTCAGGGGTTTGTGTTTCTAGACAGTTTCTTGACACAGTGGACAGGTTGGCCTCGGAGGCCTCCTCAGCTTGAGAGTCAGTGCAAGTTACTCCCAAGCTCAGCACACAGGCCATTTCAGAAATCCAGAGTTATTCCCTTTATTCAGAGGAACCCAACTGAGTTGCACACTACTTAGACAAAGGACTCTAAAAGCTGGGAGCAGTCTCTCTCCTGCCACGGCTTCCTAGTCCGTACATTCCCGCCATCCCTCTCCCTCAGTCATTCGATGCCTCACAGACTTCTGAGGAGTCTTTTGAACAGTTACACTTTTGATTGTGCATCACCTAAGTGTAATTCCATCCTGCCCCTTCCCTGCTGTCCAGCACCATGGACACCATGTGCATGGAAGGAAAAGTTACTTACCTTGTACAGTCACTGGAGTTCTTCAGGATGTTTGTCCCTGTGGGGCTCCACTTCAGGTGTGCCTGTGCCCCATGTGTCTTCAACCAGACATTTGGAAGCAGTGCCTGTTTAGTCCACACATGTGTCCTAGCTAACCTGGTGCCTAAAACTGAGGGTACATAGGCCATGTCAGACAAACCGCCTTCAGTTCCTTCTCTGCCGCAAAGGCAAAGACTCCAAGGCAGAGGAGAAGGAGGGTGGTTAATGGAGGAACTCTAGTTCCTGTACTGTATAGGGTAAGTAACCTCTCCTTCTTCTTTGAGTAGTGAGCCTATGGGTGCGCCATTTCAGGTGACTTCCTGCTACAGGAAGTGGGTGCTTCGGACCCCGATCTCAGACTGTTCGAAGAACAGCAGTACCAAAAGCAGTGTTTGCTCTACCGGTATGCATTAGTGTACAATATTTCAAAAAGGTGTGAACTGAAACACACACAGCAGCTTTGAAGATTTCTGCATTGGGAACATTCTTCAACAGAGTTACATTCGTAGATTGGGCTATAACACAAGAAGGAGGCTGAATATTAGTGGCCTCACAGGAAGAGGGCATGCAACCAGAAAGCCACTTGGAGAGTCTTTGGGTTGGGATGGGGCCCCTTTAACTTTGTGTGCTAAAGAGACAAACAATTTGGGGGAGGGCCCTAGGGGGTTTAGTCCTCTCCAAGAAGAAAACCAACACTCTCCCGACAACCAAGGTGAGAAGGGAGGCGTCTTCTCAAGACTGGTGAGGTTTAGAGTAAAAAATGGAAATTGAATATCCTGATTGATTTGAAAGTCTGAGGTTACCTTGGGCAAAAAGCAAAGATGTGGTCAGAGAGATACTTTTTCCCTATAAAAATGGTATGGGGGGGTTCAGCCATTAGAACCCCTAACTTGCCAATCCCTCTAGCTGAGGTGACAGCAACTAAAATGCAGTCTGCATGGATAAGAGAAGCAGGAAACATTTAGCCAGTAGCTCAAAGGGTGATGGCTTCATCAGCTAATTGAGGATGAGATTCAGGTCCCATCCCGGGGCAGATTGCCTGATATGTGGGAAGAGATTCATTAAACATTTAATGAATTGAGATGTGGTGGGGTGAGCAAATACCGAAACCCCCTAAACAGAGATATGGATGCTGTGATAGCTGCTAAATGGACTTTAACAGAACTCAGAGACAGTTCTTCAGGACTAAAAGGTAAACCAGAATGTGAGCGGGGGAAAATCAATATGGGACAGACCCTGTTGGGTACACCAGTGGTGGAATCTCTTCCATTTCTGTTGGTATGTTTTCCTCATGGATGCTTTTCCACGTGTAGTAACACCTCTTGCGCCTCTTTCAAACAGTCCATGTCTACCTGAGAGACAGCTAGCAGTCAAGCCTTGAGATGCAGTGCTCCAAGGTTGGGGTGAAGAACCTTCCCTGAGTCCTGGATCAGTAGGTCTGCTACTAGTGGTAACCATAGTGCAGGACAAGAGGAGGGGCGAACCAAATACGAGAATCATATTTGTCATGGCCAAGCCTGTGCAATTAGAATGACTCTGGCTTTGGCCTGATTGATTTTGTTTAGGCCTCTGAGGAGTAATAGCATCAGGGGATATGCATAGAGGATGGATTTCTTCTCCATCAAAAAATGAGGAAGGCATGTCCCAGAGAATGACAATCCAGACCTACTCTTAAGCAGAATTTCCGGCATTTTCTGTTGGTGGCAGTAGCAAAGACATCTATTTCCAGAGCCCTCCAGTGAAGGAATATCCCCTTGAGAATCGCTGAGCTCCCACTCATGATCCTGGCAGAAGTGCCTGCTCAGGTTGCTGGCTAAGGTGTTCTAGGGGCCTGGTAAGTATGTGGCTGAAATGAAGATCTGATGGAATAGGCACCAGTTCCACAGCTTCAGTGCTTCTGCACAAAGGGAGGGAGCCCTCACTCCTCCCTGGTTATATATGTAGGACACGCTGGCCCTGTTGTACATCCTGACTCTGATGGATTGGCCTTTGATCATAGGTAGGAAGCATTTGCACTCATTTGGATCACTCTGAGCTCCAGCAGGCTGATGTGGAGAATCGATTCTTGAGCAGCCTATTTGCCTCAAATGGTCTGACTTTGAATATAAGCTCCCCATTCTACTGGAATGTGTCTGTTTCAATGGTTGCAGAGTGAAGGGGATTCCTGTACACACCTTGTCAAGGTCTTTCCACCAATTGAGTAAGTTCAGAACCTCTCAAGAAGCTGACACTAACTTGCCCAGACTGTGTTTGTTGGGAGTGTAAATGGTTTTCAACCTAGCTTGGTAGCAGCAAAGATATAACCTGGCATGTAGTGTAGAAAGGTGCAGGCAGCCATAACCCAAGCCTTGTAAACAAATCCTGGCCATTGTCTCCGGGTTCATTTGAGCCTGAGAAATGAGGCTTGTCAGTGTGATAAATCTGTCTACAGGTAGGTAATCTCTGGACATCGTGGTGTCCAAGGTGGCTCCTGTATATGCTGTTCATTAAATTGGTGTCAAGGTGTCTGAAGCCCCAGAACATCAAATGGGCTATAGTCTTTGTGACTGCAGAGTAAACTTGGCTGTAAGAGTGGCTCTTGAGGAGCCACCTGCTGAGATGGGGGAAGATGACCATTATGACTGTGCTGCCACCACTGCCTGGAACCTTCATAAAAACCCTGGGGGCGGCAGAAAGTCCGAAGGGGAGCACTCAATATTGAAAGTGATGCTGACCGATCATGAATTGCAGGAATTGCTTGTGAGCCAGGTGTATCACAATAAGAAAGTACACATCCCGGAAGTTGAGGGCTGCAAATCAGTCCTCCAGATCTATAGATGGTTTTATTGCTGCCAGTGTCACCATCCTGAGTTTCTGTCCCTGGATGAAGTTCTTCAACACTCTGAGACCTAAGATTGGTCTCCACCCACCCTTCTTTTTGGGAACTAGAGAGTACTTGGAGTAGAACCCCTTTCCTCTGCTGGCTCAAATGGCTCCTATGTGAAGAAGGGATTGAATTTCTTGTCTCAGAAGACATTTATGAGATGGGTCCCTGAAAAGGGATAGGGAAAGGGAGTAGGAATGGAGATTAAATTGATGGGAGTAGCCCGAAGTTAAGAACTCCAACACCATCTGTTCCCAAGAGCTTTGAAAATGGGAGAGACGATTCCCGAAGGGTTGGGCAGGGGGAGGTTAGAACACCACAGCCATAGATCTGAGGGATAGGGTGGTTCCCAACCCATGACCAAGGCATTAAAATGGATGCTTGCCTGCTAAGCAGGGCTGTGATGTTGTCATGGCAGAGGTTAAGCTCTTCTCTTTTGAAACCTAGGTTTTTTCTTAGGTGATTCTGATGATCAATGGTAAACTAGGAACTGAATGGGGTGAGACCTCTGTACTCATAGATTCATAGACTTTAAGATCAGAAGAAACCATCATGATCATCTGGTCTGACCTGCAAATTGCAGGCCACAGAACCTCACTCCCACTCCTGTGATAGACCCCGAACCTCTGAGTGAGTTACTGAAGTCCTCAAATCATGATTTAAAGACTTCAAGTTACAGAGAATCCACCATTTACACTAGTTTAAACCTGCAAGTGGCACATTCCCCATGCTGCAGAGGAAGGTGACCCCCCCCCCCCCGGGTCTCTGCCAATCTGACCCAGGGGAAAATTCCTTCCCGATCCCAAATATTGCGATCAGTTAGACCCTGAGCATGTGGGCAAGACCCA